TTCTCAGTAGTTCATCAGAAAATTTCCAGTTAATTTGTATTTTTAATTGCTTATTCGTGGAATCGTTCCTGAAATATTTAGCGATTTATAAAAAAATTGCAAATCTCTTCGATTTGCATGAAAAATTGATATGTGTGGTATATAGACACGAAAGGCTGTACCATTGGAGTGGAAATGAAATTACACTCTCACAGATTATCGGAAAGTTTTCATTGAATTATTGCTCTCAATGGTTTATGCAACAAATCATATCTGCGATTGTCTCTTTCCGTGGATTGATTAAAGAATCACCCGAAACACTATTAAAAAACGATGGGTTTTATTAAAAATCTATAACAATATAAAAAATTTAAAAAAAAACCACTTGCCGTGTAATCAGAGAATTTTCATTGAATTTTCACTTTCAACGGTTCATTAAACCAATTATTGCTGATGCTCGTTTTCCGTGGGATGAATAAAAAATCTCACCAATTCTGAGGTAATGGTCAGTGGCTCGCCATATATGTACTTCCACATTCCGAATTTCCATTCGGGTTTATTAGCTGTCCTAATAACTCGCTGCATTTTAATCCGACGTTAATCTCCCATGGGCCCTCTGATGAATCGGCCCCCCCTCGTCAGTTTTCACGCCACTCCGACTCGCTCTCCCCTCGATGAAAAATTAAGGATTAAAAAAAAAATTCAACAATTTTTTCTCCTTTATTTTTATTTGTTCATTGCAACCACATCTCCTGAGAATAGGGCATGTATAATCAAATACGTTTAACAGAGACTCGTTCCATAACCATTCGCTCGTCGATTTAAATCATTTCAAATCACATTCGCACGTGCCCGACTTTAAAATATGGAAATATTCGTCATTTCAATTTTCACATTTCTTTTTTTTCCGCTTTTCTTCCTCCACTGTGTTTCTTTCTTTCGAATCCCCCTGTTGCCCTTCGACAAGAATAAAGATGAATTAACGAGTCAATTGAAAAATCGTTTGGGTCTCTTTACGTTTTATCTCCCTTTATTGAATCAATTCGACGAGTCCACTGGAATTTTAATTTTACCGTCTTTGTTTAGTCGGTGATTTCAATAGTTCATTTCACAATCGTTTAAGAGGTATCTCCACGGAATATCGCTTGTCATTTTTTGTGCTTATTGTGACAATAAACGTGTCCAACAATTTTATGTCATTTAATATGCTTTATTGCTCTGTGTCACGGAGTCGACGTCTCGCAGGTTCTTTCTGTTGTCTCGTCATCGACCGCATATCGACTCCGATCTTATTATCTTCTCCATCTACTTTCTTATTTTTCATCGTTTTGCATTGTTTGTCTTATTGTTTTATTTTTTAATGAACCGAGGGAACGAACAAGTTGTTGGTTCATAGGGATGTAAACGAAACGATTGGATAATTCTTACAGCATGCAAAGACAACGAATTTGAATGCGCCGCTGGGTATTGCATTTCGATACATCGGAGGTGCGATGGAGTTAACGATTGCTCCAATAAAAGGGACGAGGAGAACTGCCCCATTCACAGTACGATATTTTTTTTTATTTTATAAGTATTAATGACAATATCTCACGTGGAGAAATTAATGTATTTCAGCCAAGGATTTATATTTTTTCACGAGGAGAATATCTTTTTCGAAGAGATTTATCATTTTTTGGAGAAGTACAAAATCTCTTGACTTCAATTTTTTCTATCAGTGTAAGATGTTGGTTACTTGAAAATTTTTCAGTATAAATTTATTCAAACGACGAAAGACACTAATTATTTTCAGATAATCAATTTCCAAGTATTAACATTGAATTTATTTTAAACAATTTAATTATCACGTTATACGACTCAGATTTTTCGATTTTCCGATTTTTTAGGACTGTGAAATTGAATTTCATTCGAAGTCATATTTTGGATAATAATCTCATGATTCGATAAAATTCTGAGAATTATAATTGCATTGGGAACATTTAGAATGGTCTGGGGAAATATCGAATATTTAATTGCATAATCTTAACGAAATCGAGGATGTCACATTCTCAATGAAAATATATTCTGTGATCAATACTGCAGCCGTTGGAACATTACTGCAAGGATAAAAATACTTATACTCAGAGCAGTACTGATTTATTCCATATTTAAGATAGATTAGGAGGATCCTTTTAGGTAATTCTGCGAGAGAATAGAAAATGCAGAAGCATGACTTGAGGTGGAGGAATGACGAGTGCTATTGCATGTAAATTTCTCTCATTGAAAATATTCCATGAAGTACCTTTAACCCCCACAGATGCACGAAACTTAACAGTTCATATTGAAAGAATAATAATAATAGTTACAACGAATAAATAAATAAAATCGGTCGAATGATAATTTAGCGTAACGATTTGATTAAAACATTGAAATTCAAATGTAATGCTCATATTTCAATTAACTTTTTTACCATCAATTTTTATTTTAGTCTTTATTGCTGTTTATGATTTTGCATTTTATAATTGGTTAATTTTATTCTGTGGTACGTGCCACAATGTAGAATACTGTAGAAGCGATGAGTTCGATTGTGGTGGTGGTCAATGCATCAATGGTACAGCAAGGTGCGATGGCCGAAACGACTGTCCTGACAATACCGATGAGACAAATTGCAGTGGTATATTTTCATTTTCATTTTCTCTTATAATTTTATATTTCACATTACAATTTTACCATTCAGTTCCAGTTCCAATGCCTTTGATCAGAATCAACATTTAATTAATTGGCCAATAAAATTGCCATTATTTCAATTATTTGTCTTGTTTTTTTTATAGTTTTAAATAATTAATTTCTTACATTTTTCATTCTCATTTTCTTCATTATTTTTATTTTATTTTATATTATTTCATTTTATCATTGAATCTTAGTCCAAGGTCCTCAAAAATTAACGTGTAATTCATTAGCAACAAAATGACCGATGAGTTATTGATTTATTTATTGTTTCTCCATGGTTTTCATCAATTTAATGTTGATATTTTCAGTGACGACATGCAGCAGTGATCAATTCCGCTGTCTCGATGGTTCCTGTGTGGGAATCGATAAAAGATGCAACGGTTACAGCGACTGCAGAAACGGCGAAGACGAAAGTCAATGTGGTAAGTGAAAAACGTGTAAATAATAGATTGATTATCACTGAAATTCAAACCGCTCAACTCAATATTAGCAGTACTCCCAAAATAATCACGTTGAGCCCCAAAATGTATCAATTTTGCATAAACGTCCGGAGGTCATAACAGCTTTGATACGTTAAAATGGAAAATTTTCTTGGGAATTTTCGATCCACGTTAAAATCGGATTTGGGGGGTTCGACGCGTTGTAATCCCTGATAGGAAAAAGTCGATGGATAATAAATGAAGGGTGCAACCTGGGTGAAATCGGCGATGGGATGAATTTCAATTTGTCGTTGCAATAATTCACGTTTTTATGCGATTATTAATGACAAATTAACACATCATGCAAAGATATAATAATTTTAATCAATGAAAAAATGTTAAATGAGTTGCGCATGGGTGGTGGTATTTTGCTATGACTAGGTTGTGGAGCTGGTGAGTTTCGTTGCAGCGACGGCCAGTGCATCGCGAACAATTTGCAGTGCAATGGGTTTAATGACTGCCAAGATGGATCGGACGAGCGTGATTGTGGTAACTATGTGCGATTGTTAAAATCGTGCTTATTCACTGAGAGAATGAAAATTAATAACGGTGATATTAGTCTTTATTTATAAACCCTGTG